CTGGGGGACAGTATCCCCCCCTGACGCTTGACGAGATACGAGAATTGAAATAGTCATTGACTATGAAAGGATTTTTTTTAATTAAAATCCGATATAAGAACACTTTGTATGCTTTTAATTATGTTGATTTATCGTTTATAATATGTTCGACCTAATTAAAAGCACACAAAGTGTTCTTATTGGCCAGGACAGATTAGTGGGGTTAACTCTAATCAATATCCATAAAGATATTGAAATAAATGTTGATGCTGTTATTGATAGGTTTTCCAAACAGCGTACTAGAAAACTTGATTTTGTTTTGTAGTTTTATTTATAGCTTATAGTTTTTATAGTTTTTTTTTTGATAGTTTAGAGTTTTTTATAGTTTATAGAAAATTAACTAATAAACGTCGTTGTTTCATTTTTGTTTATGTTATTTACAAATCTATATTTTAATTTTTGTGTTATGTTTTTATATCTTTTTGAAGACAAAAAAATCGCCGTCGTTTTAATTCGACAAAAAAATTCCGACGGTGATTTTTTTTGCGACTTAATCATAGTACCACCCCCATAGCATACACCTATCTACGCCCCTGATTCGTGAAGGCTTCTAAAAGGCAAAAATAACTGATTTCAGCTATTCTAAAGTCTAATAAATATCCTTAGAAAATGCAAACAGCTTATTTCCGCAGGAAAATTTTTGTGTTTATATGTTCAGAAAAATATTAAAAATAAAACGCAAAATCTATTTTTTTATAGCAGATTTCACTTATTCTAAAGTACGAAATTTGGAAATTACGCAATTCCGCAGGAAAATTTGTGTTTTCCGTGGTTCACAGTAGCTTTTTAAAGACAATTTTTTTTCTAATAACTGACTTCAGCTAAACGAAAGTTCACCCGAAAATACCGTTACATTTGTCAATTTATATGAAAAATATGGGTGTGTATGGAACACTCAGATTCTAGAATATAAAATTGGAGAAAGAAGTAATGCAATTCAAAATATTCTACGTGATATGATCGATTTAGGTGTAAAATGACAGAAGAAGATGCAAATAAGCGAATAAAAGCTGTAAGAACCACGTATATGGTTCTAAAAAACAATTAAGATTTGTATCATGACATTTGTCATGACCATTGTAATGTGTAAATCTATACTAATATACAGGGTGTTTCAAAACAAATGCGAAAAACTTCAGGGGGTGATTCCTTGTTCAAAATAAAGGGTAGTTTGCTTTATAAACGTTGGGTCAAAAGTCAACTATTAGGGAGATATCGCGGTACAAAGATGGCGGAAAAATAATGTTTTTATTTTTTATCTTGAAAACGAAAAGAGATAGACTAATGAAATTTTACGGAAGCATTACTGTTATGAAAACACACTTTTTGGTAATTTTTTCACTTTTTTAAAATGAGTGGAAGGGGTTTAAATAAACTACCCCTATCATTCCTGTTAATGAAATTTAAAGAAAAATCTTATCAAACACATGCAAAAAAAATTAATTTTGATAGTTTAGTTTATTTAGAAACTTTTTTATCTCTTACGTTTTTTTGATAAAACTCACCGATTTTAAATTAAAAAATAAAATGTAAAGCATTACATGTCAGGACAAAAAACATTTTTAGATAAAGAATCTAGTGGGCAGCTGTAATTTTTTTAGGAAAAAATCTAGTCGGCCGCTGTCACTTTTTAGGATGTTTCTAATATTGTTTTATTTGACATTACCCTACTGCAATACGTTATTATCTAGATTATTATTATTATCATTATTATCACTAGATTCTTAATCTAAAATAAATCTGTAAAAATAAAATCTGTATACAGGGTGTTTCGAAAAATTGATTAATCACGATCCTGCTTAAAGCGCTTGACGTAAAAAGCTGATTTTGGAAAACAGATTGACTTTAGGGTGTAGAGGTTCAATAAGAAGGGATTTTTCGAAACTCGAATTCTAAGGGGGTGAAACTATCCCTCAAATATTAAAATATTTTTTATTTAAAAACCGGTGAGTTTTTCGGAAAAAACACGTATATTCTCTTAAACACGTATATTTTATTTTGTTGTTTTACATATTTTAAGATTTTTTATAAATTTATATAGGGTGTTTCATAAAATATGACCATTGAGTAATCACGATTCTGCTTAAACTGCTTGACGTTTAAAGCTGATTTTTGGCAAACGGATTGACTGTGGGGTGTAGAGGTTCGATAAGGAGGGGTTTCTCGAATTTCAAATTCCGAGAGGGTGAAAACGCCCCTCAAATATTACAATATTTGTTATTTAAAAAACGGTTAGTTTTTCGGAAAAACGCTTGGACAAGCATAATTTATTTGATTTTTTATATATTTTGAATTTCTTAAAAAATCATACAGGGTGTTCCAAAAAGTTAGGTAATTTCTTAACCACGATTCTGCTTAAACTGCTTGACGTAAAAGGCTTAATTTTGGTAAACGGATTTTTCGAAAGTCAAATTCCAACGAGATGAAACTACCCCTCAAATATTACCAATTGTTATAAGTTATATAATAATATCGCCATATTGTTTTTCTCATGCTGACATAAATGTGAGAAAATTTTATCCAGTTTGTTTGTTAATGAAAATTTTTGCTTTGCTTTATCATCACCATTACAAATGATTAATTCGACGCGAACGAAGTCGCTGGTACACGCTAGTAACAATATAATCTTAGTAAAAATAAATATAAGTATTTGAAAATCTCAATTTTCAAAAAATAACAACAAATATTATTTATACATATTGATACTTTGTACCACAGAAGGCTGTGCTTTGTACTTTAAAAATATTCAGACATATAAACATATTTATCATAGTCCCAATGTATTAAATTGTATTAATTTAACACTATAGTTGTAATAAATGACTCATGCTATTTTTAGAATACACACCTACAACGGAATATTATTTCAATTACCTATAATATATTATACAACAAATTGCAAACAATGACTAATAAAATGATTTTATAAATGTAGAGAAAATCAGATTTAGCACTTAAGTACTTTCTAAAAACAAAAATATATATTTTATAGTACAAAATTGTGATAAAAAAGCAGCAGAAAAAAAAGTAAATACCTAAAACAAGAAATACATTTCAATCATTGCAAAGAAAATACACACTTCCAGCAGTTCTTTATAAAATTTCGTCATGTAAGTAACACTCACTGCGTCATAGAGGTAACATTTAAAACATATTATATACGTTTAATAAGTCAAAATTTGGCACAATGTTAGATCTTGATGACGTGAACGCCTGTAAAGTACGCGTTTGCTTCCAATCAACAATAAAAAAGTGAAAATTGCATATCAATTCATCCAATGGAAAAAAAATATTATACAAAAATAAACTTTTTGGCGAAAACATTCAGTTGTTATTAAAATATTCAAAACTTTAATAAGTCAGTTAGATATGTATAGTCCGTCCAAGAAGATATACCACAATGACAGTTGCCTGTTGTTCTTATTCAAAATTCAAAAGTATTTTTTTTTCTGTCAATTTCCGATGCTGTCTGACGAATTTGCCTCTTCTCGTGCTGTATGTAGAGACTTTGTATAATTTTTTTTTCAAAAAATTTTATCATCAACTATGCTTTGTCTGATACATAAAATTTTTATGAGAAATTACATTAGAATTTTTTTGACTGTCAAGGTCAAAGCTATCTTGATCATATGGTAGGTACCTAGGTGTAGGTACTTCTGGAATTCATAAGTGGGTAGTTGGTTAATTAAGTACATACATACTGTAAGTATATTGATTTTTTCACAATTGTAATTTGAATTTTTAATGATAAAATAATTATAATTTCAAAAGTTAGAATTACTTGTTTTAAAAATTAAATATTCTTAAAAATATGAAAAATTACTCAATTTTTTTAAAAATGTGTGCATAAATTTACATGCAAATACAAGTGCAAATATAAACAATGTTTTTTTTTATTCTAATTATTATGCAAAGAGCTTTTGCAGATAAGGATCGAGACAAGGACTTACAAATTGATATATTTGTAAAAATAGATCTATTGTACATCTATGTATATATGAATTATATAAAAATTCCTTTTGCAAATGAAAGTTACAACTACAAACACAAATCCTAATTTCATACTACTTTTACCTTGATATTTGATAACAAATAGAACATATTGATAACTTCATTTGATAAATAAAAAGCTAATACCCATATTATGATTGCAAGATCAATTCCATAAAAGTAGTTGTTAAGAAAAAACATATTAAAAATATTGGACCTATTGCACAAAGTATTTTATTCTTTGTAATATCTGCTCCCGTATCTGCTACTGATGCAGAATCTTAAACTCTTTTGAGTGCATTCCATATAACAGAAAATAAGCTAACTTTCAAAAATAAGTTTGTTCTAAAAATAAATCAAAATACAAATGCCATTAGCTTTCTCAACCTAATTATTGTTATACCTTAATAATGTACCTAAGATGTAAAACTTTTTAATGTCTTAATATACAAACTTTTCCTGAAATCATATTAATTGTAATAATATATTGGTTTGGAACTATAAATAGATTGCTAAACTTAGAAGTGGCAGAGAATATTGAATGGTATACTTCAGTAACTACGTATACAGTTTTTTGGCAGTAGTCAGTTGCAGTCAGCGAATACATACGAGTGTATGCATTCTATACTTTCAGAGTTGAAACAATTAATAAAGCAAAAAAGATATTAATAACAACTATGCTTTTACTTATTTGTTATTGTAAATCTATTTTAATAAGTTTCTATCACTGACTCATGACAATTGCTATGAATAATAACACAAGGTACTTTCTTTTACATTTTGTCCAGTCCAGTTTTCTTTACATTTGTACAGACTGAAATATAATGTTTATACATGATTATAAATCAATATTTCATTATTAATGATATTACAATATAATTGGTAAACAATTTAGAAACTGTTGCAATTAATATCTTTGAATTGATAGACAGCTGATTGCTACAATAATTAAATTTGAAAAATAAACTTACGGATCGTTTAATAATGGAGAGATCTTCAAAATATTGTCCAAAAATTTGTTATCACAGCACCATATCGCCGGTTTTTGGGGCTGGGCATTCACATTCAAAATCCTGAACAAAATACATAAAATAACAGCTATAGCAGCCAATAAAGCGGTCGACATCGCCCCGAAAGCGTTTCACAGTGTCACAAATCTTGGCAGCGATCAATGTTTTTAATTACTACTACACAAAATTAATAACGCACCACTTTTTTAATTCAATTTGTGAGGAAAAATAAGTCGGAATACCTTACAAACTGATTTAAAAAAACATTTTGTGCTTTGACAGATGTTATTATTGACATTTTACTAGCAGCGTTGCCGGTTCGTCGCAGCGATGAAGAACAGTAATAAAGAAGTTTGAAAATTGGTGCGGTATTTTGTTTCTTCTAAACATTTTCTGGTAACTTGATCAATTTGCAAAATACTTATTAATATTTGAGAGACAAAATTAAGCGACCTTAAAAGTTAGTTGTATTCAATGACTAAAGAATCCAAGGACAAATAACACCCGACAGCAAATTGTGACGCTGGCATCAAACAGTGCCGTGGCACATATTTTTCTTAACCTAGCTGTTTGAAGCAATATTTATATTTTTTGATAATTGTTTTGACTACGCCTATGGTGTATCATCCTAACTAATTACGAAAAAAACGTACTAAAATGTTAACAAAAGATACAAAACTAGTATCGACGTATAGCACATATCAAGTACATATAGATGTTAATTGAAATTGAAGAATAATTATCGAATTCAATAAGAAAACGCTAAAAAGTTGGAGTGGACTGTTTATTTACCTATGAAACGTAACTCCTGGCTCTTTCTTGTCGCTATGGCTTTTACACTTGAAAGCTACACAATTCACCATTGTAACAAAGTTTATACAAAGTTCACTACACACAACAAACTATTAAAAATCGCTAAAATTGTCGCTGGTGACTGGATGATGACTCACTGTTTGGCATCAAACGAATGGCGTCTAACGTCACAAATTCTACTACAGCCCGTACAGGGGCGTTACATGTCCTTATATTCTTTAGTCATTGGTTGTATTCAATTATTGTATTATCAGGTAACATTTGTTGTAAGTTTAGGGGTTTCTTTATAACTATGGCAACGTCGAATTGGGAAAGGCGTGCATCTATCGGCTGTTTTCGTGTGGCGTGATTTTGGAAGATCGGCGATTCTCGGAGTCTCAAGGACGCTAATTGCAGTTCAAAAATTCCATAACAATAAAGTTTTTCTTTTCATTTCTAAAAATAGACATTTAATATTCGCTCTTAATTTTAAGAAAAATCAGGTTTTTAGAACAAATTATTTGTATATGCAGTAGAATTTTAAACTTATAACTTATTGAACTGTTTTAAAATGCATTTTGCAAAAGTACCTATATCAAAAGTTCAAATATAAAATACCTATATTACCTGAATCTTACCACACTTTAAGTTGTGTTGTATTTTTTTATGCGATACAAATGTACCTAAACTAAAATAGTATTTAGTAAATAGTAAAAACAAGTAAATACTGAATTAAGTGTGTGTTCTGGACTTGTTCTTGACATTATGGCGAAGTAATTTTTAAAAATAATATTTTCAAATAGCTATATAACTATCTATAATAAATAGAAAAAAGCAAATTAAATAAGTAATTAAATCTTAAATTTGACAGACGTTTGAATCTATTTACTTTTAACACCTTCTATCTTGTCATGTCCATCAAGGAAGAAGTCGCAGAATTAGTGAAAAATGGAACTATTTTAATTTTTAACTTTTCTAGCGCCTTCGCCATTAGGTCAATAAAAACATTTCTTATTAATAATATTTATTTTTCAACTGATAGCTAAGGCCCTTAAGGCGTTGGATGTGGGGAATTTATAAAGTTACAAACGTTCTGTAAAGGCGACCTGTGAAGTTATGCTACATATACAGGGTGTCCCCGGCTGAGCGTGCATTAAAAGAGAACTATAATATCTAGATCGGAGATGATTTTTATCACATCATTGTTTCACAATGAGATCTATCGATTAAAAATATTTTCAATATGGCGGCACTTCCGGAAATACTGGAAGTTGACAGCAACTTTCTAATTTTAAATGAGTAGCACCATTTTTTATTACATATTTAAATTCTCTATCAAATTTTATGAATTTTCTTGTCAAACACACTCTATCTAACATTAACCGTTTTTGAGAAAAAAAAAATATTTAAAATTTTTGGTGCAAAAAATTGCCTGTCAAAATAAAGTTGTTTAGACTTTGAGAGACTTTGTATAGATCTATTATTTTAAAATTTGTATAGCCTAAACGTCAAATTTAGTGATTACCACAGCCACTGTGACATAAAGAGAAGACATGTGGCTATCTATTTCAACAATTAAATTGTTTGTCATATAATATTGACCGTAGCTGTCATGAAATTGATAGATTAATAAGTTATCATAAATCATTTTTTTTTCAAATGGAAACCCACTTTTTTACTTTACTAGTGAAAATGTTTTTTAATTCCTTACTTTTTGATTATATATCGTCCCATTGCTGCCAAAAGTCACCAACTAACATTTATCCGAACAACCAAATTCAATCACTAACTATGTTTTGAAGCGGAGAATCGATTGCAAAAGTCACTAACTACGATTTCTGGCTATTTATGTTTTATTTTAATACCGAACTATAACATCATTATGAAATACACGCATTTTTCTCGGAAGTAATAAAAAGTAAGTTAGTGACTTTTGGCAGTAATGGGACGATATGTTCCTATACCTAGAATAAATCATTTATAAGTCATTTAAGATTTAGTTTTAAAGCGTATATATATTTTTCTAGTTTTTAACCAGTAGCCTATGACGTTAAACGTCAAACGACGTAAAACTATATCTGGTTATGTCATATTGCCATTAGATATATATCACTATAGATATCTTTTTATAAATACACTTTATAAAGGTTTAGCAGCAGTATTTATAATAAACAAAATTCATATAATTAGTTTTTTGACAGAAGGCAATAAAATGTCTGACTGGAAGCTAGATAAAATCAAGAAATGTTTTTCCTTTAAAACTAAATCTTAAATAACTTAAAAACCATTTATTTTTTGTATAGGAACATGTAATAATTAAAAAGTAACGAATTGAAAAACTTTTTCACTAGTGAAATAAAAAAATGGGTTTCCATTTGAAAAAAAAAAATGATTTATAATAATTTTTTAGTCTCCCAATTCCATGACAGCTACGGGCAATATTTTGTAATTTTCAAACAATTTAATTTTTGAAATAGAGAGCCACATGTCTTCTCTTTATGTCACAGTGGCTGTGGTAATCACTAAATTTGACGTTTAGGCTATACAATTTTTTTTTCACAGGCAGTTTTTTTCACCCGAAAATTTAAATATTTTTTTTCTCAAAAAACGGTTAATGTTAGGTATAGACGCTTGATATCAAAATTCATAAAATTTTACAGAGAATTTAAGTATGTATTAAAAAATGGAGGTACTTATTTAAAATAAGAAAGTTGCTATCAATAATTGAAAATATTTTTAATCGATATAGATCTCATTGTGATACAAAGATGTGCAAAAAATCTCCAATCTAGATCTTATAGTTCCCTAAAAACTTTTAATGCACGCTCAGCCTGGGACACTCTGTATACGGTGCGGTAAAAAATATATAATCAGGTTATTTGAATTATGTATTCCTTATTCATTTAGATAACAATGTAAGACAAACTTATAATGCATTTATTGAAATTATTATTCTATACTGCTCTGATAATCACTGTACTATACATTATTCAATCCCATTTTTAGATAATTGTATTATAATAAAACAAGAATATCAGCTTTGTGTTATCATACCACAAAATTTGGTTGCTAAATGGTCCAAGATACTGTTTGTCATGTCCCAAATAGTTATGCACAATATTTAAACACATATTTCTTACAAATATCAGTATATTTATTATAAGCAGATATAGCGCCAATAATGGCAACAATTCTATAGATTTATTAGAACAAAATATGTCTTAAAGGTCATAACAATTATTATTTAATATGTTAGAAATAAATATATACCTCATGTGACATGTAGCACAAACTTTAATCTGTGCATGTAGTGATGTAGTTAGACCTACCTTAGTTATATATCCTTACCTATCAAGAATATAAACTGGGATATAATATAAATGAAAATAATTTTATCTTAATCCAGCGCATTCACCAATATGTCAATAAAAACTTCTAACTAACTAACTAAATTTTTTTATTTTATATTGCTATGGTCAATAGTGTGTATACAGGTGGTTTAGGCTTATACAAAACCACCTGTATAAAGAACTATAGATTTATATGATAATAAACCTTATGCTCAAAAATACGTTTTATGATCAAGTGTGCTTAGACAAATAAAAAAAAATATATTTCCATAAAAAAACTGTTTATGCATTGTCATGATAAAAAAAGCTGTGCTTGATCATAAAACACATTGATTGTATTTTATGTCTTCTAATAAGAAACATATAGAAATGACAAAACAAAATTAAAATATTAAAAAGTTAGGTAGTTACTATAGGTACAACATAATGTAGGAGACTGTATGTCCTATGTACTTAATAGAATATAAAAATCTAGTTGCTTTTTAGCAAACCTAAATCTATCAAGTTCAGATTATCAAAAATGTAAACAACTATTGAATGTAAAAACGTCAACATTTTACTTTTATTATTGGTCGATCGTATACGCATAAAATTAAAAAACAGTAAAAGAAATAAAATGTTTGGGAACAACAAAACTAACAAAAGTAAATTTAAAACTATTATAAAAAAGTCTGGGTATCTACTCCTCACTAAATCTAAGTCTGTAAAAAAATAATTAACAAATTAATCTTATATAAACGGTATATAAAATATACAGACAGTAACATTAAAATACAGTAAACAAATAAATTAATTAAGCAACAAAAACAAATTTAAAAACTAGAAGTCGTTGATATAAAATTTTAGCAGATTTAGTCGAAACAGAACTGAGTTTAATTTTTGTTAGCATGAATAGCTTTGATTATTTCTCTTCCTATAGCTGTAGCCAAAAGTGGAGGTACTGCATTACCTATTTGCCTGTACTTGTCTGAAGTACTGCCTACAAATATAAATTCGTCATGGAACCCTTGTGCTCTTGCATACTCTCTTACACTGATAATTCTGTCTTGATCCGGATGTAAGGCTAAAACATGAATAAATATTCATTCAGATGCAAAAAAACAGCGTTAAATTTAACGTAGGTATTCTATTTTTGTTATTTTCTCTAGCTCGGTCAGAACCAGGTCTAGCTTGGTCAGAACCAGGTCTTCTGAGCATTTTATTTTTTGGCTCATACCACTACATGCATTCCAAACTAGCAAATATAGTTCCCAGTCCTTTTTAAAATGTCACTGCCCCTAAAGTATAGTTCCTAGGCCCATTCTGCCACTTAAAATGTTACTGTATAAGGAATAGTCGCTTTGAAGTATATTAACGAGAGTGACCGGTTAGTGCCTACCTACCATAAAAGTGGAAAATAAACACCCCGATTGCAAGTCGCAAACATTTAATTTAAAGAAGTGGCTGGAACTACCCGAATCTTCGAATAAGACACCATAAAAGACCAAAACTTTATAGAAACTTTTCAAAGTAGGGGTTACTAACAAGTGCTACCATAATGCCCCCATTAGTTTTTTTTATAGTAACAATTTAAGTTACGGGGTAGTCGCGGCCACGACACCTAGTTACTTCTAATTTATAGTAGCATTGAAAGTAGCAAAATGGTTACTGCTACCTTCCTAGGTCAATATAAAGTAGCCGTCGCTCATCCATTGCCACTAAAAAGTCACGGGGGTCAAAAACGGCTACTTTATAGTGACCGTAACTTAATATATCCTAATAAATGAAATTGTCTTAGAACTGCATCATGTGCTGCTCTGTTTTAGTGTTTTCTTTTACTTGCTTTTAAGCTTTATTAAAATTTTGGAAAATCCCTAAGGTGAATAAATAGGAATTTAGATATTCCAGTACTCTCTACCGAAGAATTAAACACAAGGAATCACTGCGAGCCGATGCATCAACATCAGAAACAAAAACTACATCTTTCTATAATCCTACTGATAAACATCATAAATCAGGTAGTGACTGAGACATTTTTGAAGCTGTTTTTGTAGATGAGTGTAGTGTTAGTTCATCTCAAACTGAATCTCAGAGGAGAACTAATTTGAGAACCAACAACAATATAAAACAAGAGCTAAAAGAGTGGGCGTTAAAATACTTTATACCTCATGTAGCTCTGAATAATATAGAAACACTAATAATAGAAAATGCACAATAAGTAAAAAATAACTTCAAAGGACAAGGCGGAACGTTATAGTGGCACCAATGAAGTCGCCACCGCACCGCCGCGATCGGTGTAGCATAACGCTCCAATTAAGTGGCAATTTGGTGGCGCAGGGAACTTTCTTGGAAAAAATCACTTTATGGTTCAAAAGAATCGTTGACCATGTAGTTCCAAAAAAGTTATTGTTTCTATAAAGTCGTCTTTGGATAGCTATGATTGCCACTTTATCAATCCGAAGATTTTAAATTTCCAAACGGGTAGGGTTGGCCTAATATGTTATTGTTCCCGGTACTTTGTGGAAGCATATGGAACTATAAAGTATTTTTTGGATTAAACGGCCATATTTTTTTCATAAACTTTTAGACGAACAGCCAAATGGCTCAAACATTATGCGTTTTTAAGCTAATATACCTAGATTAAAGCTTTTTTCCTTAGTTATTTTGTTATTTCTGACGATGGACTAAATATTTTAAAGTTTAACCCCGGTTTCAAGCAAATTATTATAATTTTTTAATTACAAATATGAGTTTCTATTGCAAATAATATAATAATTTAAAATATTTTGAGAAGCACTCGAAAATTTTGTTACATAAACCCACTATTTTATTCAGTAAAGTTGATTGCGTTCTGGAATTTACCTAAAAAAGGCGTTAAGATCGCACGGTAAATAACAAATAACAAAAAATAATAATGGCTTCCATAATTATTTTCCATCATGATATTTATTTTTATGAAATGTGAAATTGCACGAAGAGGTCGCTGCGAATAAAGTTCAACAGTTTAACGAAAGTTCCACATGTCGGTAGATAACACTTGGCTGCCACGAACCCGCGACTAGGAAGCTTCGTAACGGATAAGTCGCATTCACCAGTAGGCTACTTTGTAGTAACACATCATAGTAACTCTTTTAGTGACAAAAACTACCCAAGGCTACTCAAAATCTTTCCCCATTTTGGTCGCAGTTACTTAGCAGAGCTACGAATATACGGCGTAGCCGCTGATGGTCACCGCCCACTTTGTAGTGGCTTTGATAGTAGCAGTTACGTATCTGCCACTATAAATGCTAGTTGGGATTTCTTTCATGCGTCGGTTGTGCAACGAATATGTCATTTTTGCACTAATTACACAAATAACTATTTTAGATTTTAGTTTCAGTGGCAAAATACTTAAGTTTTTTTTATAAAAGGAACATATATAGTTTGTACCTTTGCCTTGGCTCCTAGAAGGTTCTGGATTTGTCGTTACTGTGCTGAAATACCCATCCCAATCCAATCGGCCATACACATTTCTCCAATGATTGTGTCTGTCAGCCGTATGAGCTATTGACCAAGGTATTATAGTTCGAGATCTTAAATATTTCTTGTGGTTCTTATTGCAGGTTTTTTCACCAACGCATTCACACATACCTCGAGGAGGACTATCCACTTCTTGTGTTTTTGTTCTAAAAAAATTCAGATATTTTTTTCTTTCATTACTTCATTATACAGGATGTCGTTACTAAGTAGTGTAAATATTTTCAGGACTAGTAAACCTCGATAAAAAACGCATACTTTTTCTTTACCGTTTTACAAACAGGTCCAAAATAACTAAGATATTGGATTTTTAAAATTTAAAAAATTTGATTTTTCGCTTATATTTTGAGAATCACTAGATTTTCTTTCTTGTATAATCAACTACCTTTGTTGCCATATAATAATATAATAAAATGTTATGTTCTACTATAAGGGATAGCGGATCTCCAAAAGCGAATAAAAAAGCCAAATAGAAAAGAGTTGAAAAATATATCTTTCAACTTTTTCTTACTCATTTTGTTTATAATAAATTATATATAAGTAATTAAACTAAATTAGGAAAATATTTTTAACCAAAACCACACAATGACACAATTATAAGATGATTTAGTTTTATCTAATTTCCATATGTTCTGGACAAAATGGCGAAGGTAACTTAAATTTAAATTTTAAAATATAAATCCAAATATGTACCTGGTACAGATTTCCGAAAATTATTCACTTACTTTTAGTTTTATTAATTCTTGAGTACATAATATAATAATATAGGAGGCCCAATCTGTATGTAGTATATAAATCATGACTGTTTTATTAAGAATAAAAATATCGTTTAATAAATTCCTGACGGTCAAGTCTTGTTTATTTGATATTATTGTATTTTATACTTGCTTTTATTTACTTGCATCATACTATTTACATTAAACAAGCTATTGCGGTTTAATGCTAGTAATAATTGACAATACATTTTTAGACACTGTTTATAAGGTAATATTAGTTTTATTCATGTATTATATACAAGGTGAGTCTTCAATAAGTGTAAATATTTTAGGGGTGGTGTATTTCGATCCCAGAAACAAGATTTTCGCGAAAATTTTGAAAATCTGGGATTTTGAAAAGTAAAAATTTTTTAGGAAGTTTTTACTTAAAAAACATAATTGCTCGATAATATGGCAACATAAGTAGTAGATTAAATTTACAATTTAGAAGAAAAAATCCGGTGGTTCTCAAAATTTAAGGAAATTTTTATTTTTTTTGGAAATTTTCAAAGTAAAAAAACTCGGTTATTTTGGACTTATTTGAAAAACGATAAAGAGAAAATATATTTCATTTATCGAGATCTGCCTGCCCTGAAAACATTTGCATTTATTTAAGACTCACCCTGTATATGCATGCTTTTATTATTGCATCACAATATTTAGTAAATAAAAAAAAAACTTCAGTGCCATATTCGGTCTTAAAAACTTAAATATGCCTAGAAAAATAAAGCATTAAATTTTTAGTTCATTTTCGCAAAATCGTAAATATTTCGAAAACGAAAGTTATAGGGTTATATGTATTGTAAACCTTGATCAATTTATATTTATTTTAATTAATTGTAGAAACTAAAAATTTAACAATATACAGAGTGTTCCATATAAAAAAAACTTTGATATTTTTTGTTTGCTTGGGACAGCTTGTATCTTTTTATAATAATTTTGAATTAAGCTTTCTTTAGAACAGTGAAAATAGTAGAATAAATTAGTGGTTTCAATTATACTTTATATTTCAAACTTCATTCCGAAACATCGCAATTAGTGGAATAAATTAGTGGTAGCAATTAGCATAGAAGTTTGTTCCTCTAATTTCAATGTAAGCATTCAGAACGTTAAAATTAGAGGTAGGAATTTTCAGTTATTGGAAAAAGTTAATAAACCTTTAACTTTTTCACTAATTATACTTCAAAATTTGCTAGGAATGTCAGTTTGGCCTTTGATTATCATCCGTAAAGAGAAAATGTGGTTAGAAACTAAAGTATTGTTTTATAAGCAAAATATTAGGCTTTCTCTATGGATACAACTGATTACCGCAAGCTGTTGCTAAGATATTCTATTAATTTTAATTGAAATTTTTAGACATTGTGAATTTGAGAACCTCGCAATTAGTGGAATAAATTAGCGATTTCAATTAGCGTAGAAGTTTGTTCCTTTAACCTTCATAAACCCGAGCGGGGTACAGCTGTACCCCAGATATGAATTATTGGGGATATTTTCTAAACTATTTTTTTTACATAATTTAGAGAAGCTATGTTTCTTAAATATATATCTAAATTAGTATACAAAATGTTGAATAAATTGCTTTTTATTGTACATAATTATAGAGAGTTGTATTGCTTGGGGTCCAGCTGCACCCCGCTCGGTATGTATTGACAGGTATAAATTTTGTCTACGTTAAAAACCAATCGGGGTACAAATAAACCCCAAATTGTTGAAATGACGCGCAATAGGCAAAGTAGGAAAGAAACCAGAGAAAGGACAAGGACAAAGGGTAGTGATGAAACTGGTAAACCATTTATCTTCAGGATATGGAATAACTATTGATAATTTTTTTGCCAGTATTGAGTTAGCTAATAAGCTTTTAGATAAAAACCTTACCTTGTGTGGTACACTGCGTAAAAATAAACCTTATATTCCAAAAGAACTACTCCCATGCAGCAAGATATAAAAAGGACTTTTCAAGCGGTTTTTCGGTTTGCTTTTATGGAAAATAAAACCTTAGTTTCCTACGTACCAAACAAAAATGCGGCAGTTATTCCTTTATCTACAGAACATAACGATGACAAAATAAGTGGAGAAACAACTGATTACAAACCAGACATAACCTTACATTACAATAAAACAACGGGTGCAGTGGACACAACAGATAAATTAGCAAAGGAATTCACAACACAAAGAAAAACTAATCGATGGCCGATGGCAATATTTTTTCATCTGCTGAACATTGGTGGCATCAACGCCTATAAACTTTGGATGTTGAAAAATCCAGATTGGAAAAAAAATCGCTTGGATAGGAGAAGAATGTTTTTGTTGGAGTTTGGGGCCAAGAATTAATTAGAAAAAAAAAACATAATTTGTAGATACCAAAATGACTAGTCGTTACATTCCAATATAAAATAATCCATGTTAACCATTCTGCCAGAATTAAACGTAAGGGACGAACAACCTGTTCCCGTTATTGGCAGAAAGCAGCGTTTCTTAAGGACGGTCCACACTTGCTATATAACACTGCTATATAGCAAAGTTATATAACATGTTACATATTTTTTAGTTATATTTAGCAAATTTCGATGCTATATAACTTGCTAGATGTTATCCATTTGTAGTCGGTAAAGATCAAAAGATGTTGTGCAACATTGCTATTGTAACATGAAACAACGCGTCCACACTTGCTAAATTTCTAGTTTAGCCGCTCATATTTTCAGGGACGTGTGCGACAGAATCTTAGTGTGGTGAGCTGATATTGGTTTGTTTATTTACTGGTCAATAATACCATATGATCGAAAAAAAAACTGCGTCCCGTCGGCCTCCCGTCCAATTGGCTTGGACATGACGATCGATGACATTCCCCATATAATTTTCCATATAAAATGACAGCGATTTTCATTTCATAGTGTGTATTTGGAAACAGAAAAAGTTGAGAAATAATGCGTAATCTAATAGGCCAGTTCCAGCGGGAACAAAAGAAATGCAAATTAGGAACTGCATGATTTAGATGAAGTGGATAATTCAAAATGGTTTGCTTTTGCTTTTACAGTACGTCTGTCCGTTCTGTAGCTACGGGGTATCCGTGAGAGGGGAAACGATATTCTCTCGATGTTTTTCGTAAAAAATAAACGACGCATCCCATCAATAAAAATTCGACAAATTTGCAAGTAGCCAATAAAATGAGTGGGCGGAGCGATTTGCGGTGACGCACTCGTCAAATCGACGTATAGAATATATTGCTGTTTATTTAAATGTTTTTTGTCTGCATTCCTTTCATTGACGCAGATCCAGCAGACGAGACGTACTGTAAATTATTAATGTTTTTAAAAGACAGAAACACACCACGAGAAACAGCCGAGGCAAGTATTGAAAAGATAAGCTAATTGAGTTCAACTGTATCTAGATCTTGCTGGTAGGCTATGGCGGACTAAAACCGCTTTTTTTCTCGACTTTCTTTCCCTTAGTTCAAAAATAATTACGCACGCCGCTGCTGCGAGCTGAACCTCTTTCTCGCCAAAACGATTCATGACTACGAAAACTATAATGTGGACGGCTCCCGGTTTTTTAACATGTTACATGTAGCTTGTTAAATAGCAATGTTATATAACATGTTACTAAATGTGGACCCTCCTTTATGCAGCAGAAGTAAAGACAGAAAATTTCGAAAGTTTTGTATTCGGTGCAATCAGTTCATGTGTGCAGAACATTCAAAAAATACAACAGTTTGTTTTTATTATTTCTAATCATTTCATTTACTTTTTTTTTCAAAATGTACCTATTAACTCATTAATTAACACTGACAACTTTTTTGTGCAAAAATATATTTTTTTAAAAGCAGAATGTGTTTTATTTTTATTATAACATAAAAAAAATGACAATAAGCCAAAAAAATGTTGGGGTACATTTGGACCCCACTCGGTATTTAATGTAAGTTTTGACCTTCATAAACTCTTTACGGAGTTTATGAAGGTTAATCCAGAACGTCGAAATTGGTGGTAGACATTTTCAATTAATAGAAACAGTTATCGAACTTTTAACTTTTCCACTAATTATACTTCAAAATTTGCTAGAAATGTCATTTTGGTCTTTGATTATCATCCGTCAAGAGAAATTGTGGTAAGAAATCCAAAGTTGATTGTTTTATAAACTAAATATTAGGCTTTCTCTATGGATACAATTGACTAAGACAAGCTGTAGCTAGGATATTCGATCTACTATTTTTATTCAATTTTTTTTAAATATTGTGAATGATCGTAATCTAAAAAGTATATAGTGTAATTGAAACCACTAATTTATTCCACTAATTACGAGGTTCTGAATGAAGCTTTACTAACTGAAAATTACTATCGCTAATTTTGACGTTTTGAATGCTTACATTGTAATTACAACAACAAACTTCTGCGATAATTGAAATTGCTAATTTATTCCACCAATTTCGAGGTCCTGAATGAAGATTTGTATCTGTTCTGTGAATGAACCTTTATATCTCTAGTAGTCCTTCAACGACCTCATCACTCACAGTTTCTTAAAATTTGATCACCTGGCTGCAGTACATCGCATCGATTAGCATAAATAACCTTGTAGATACAATATTTATCATGGTTTCTTCCAATTAAAGGTTGTTTCTCTCTATAACTTCCATATCAGCTCCCTACCGTTTCCCTTCCGTTTACATAAAATATTATATCATGTAAATGAATAGAACAATGCACACTATACGTTCCGTTTCCCTTCCGTTCCATATCCTTTCCTTCCATACATGTTTTTGGCGGACGGACTGAAACGTATCGGAAACAGCGTTGTCAACTTCTTACATGTGTACCAGCTCTGTTAAAATTTTGCTGATATTTATTCATTCTTTCACCTCTTAATTAAATCTATTAGCTTTTTCAAAAGATACAAATTTTTAAAATAAAACTTTCGTAATGATATAAATTGTACTATAAAAAGTATGGAACTGATACTGATACGGAACGGAAGCTTACGTATAGCGTCAATACAATAATGGAATGAATATGGTATAGAAACTTAAGGTATAGTAAGAATCAATCTTTAAACTCACCTGTAGGCATAATCTAGTATCTCCGTCCTTGTTCCATCCCCTAGCTTTATTGCAATGTTCGGCAAATCCGTCCAATCGCCGTATTCGGGTATCAATTGAATCCTTTTCCTTACGAGGGCAGACACTGGGTTACATTCGTGATCCCTCAGGGCATCGTCCCTGCCGCAATATTCCCTCAGTTGCTTCGCGTAGTGGGATTGATTGGAAGAATTGTAAGGCATGTGAGCTGCCATTGTTTCGTATGTAACGGGCGGTAGATCGCTAATTGCGTCTTTAACGGTAACCGTTCTGTAGGGTAAGGATCCCAGCATTCCAATGGCACTGTCTCCTATTTAAATATTAATATACAGAGTTGTTCCAGTAGCGTGTCGTGGATAAAAGGGCGGAGGGGGCAAAGATCTTAAGGGGCGCAATGATCAATAAAGGATCAAATAAGTTACAAACTTTTTTTAAATAATAAGACTACCTGAAAGCTTTTTTTTAATTATAAATTTGTTTATTAAAAAAGTTAGTATACAAAACAGTTATTTCAAAGATGCAAACGTCTTGTTTTAACCGATTTAAAAGAATCAATTATTTCGCCTATATTTAGATCCTGGGCTGTGTCTGCTTCAATACTGAAAAGTGATAAATAATTGGTTCTATATTGGTTTAATAATCTTGTCCTCTGGTAATTATTAATTCTTCCTAATCTACTGAAATATCGTTCTGCGCCAGCACTGTTGGTGGCTATGGTGTAAAAAATCCTCAGTAATGCACATAAAGATGGATATGAAGACCCTAGGTTATTGGAAATTAAAAATGATAAATATTCGTCAGGTGCAAGTTTGTTGTCGTCAGCATTAATTTCTTCTAATAAACTGCAAAAATGTTTATATTCCTCAACTAAAGAAGGTTTAACATCCGCTTGGTACAATATCTGTATATCCATAAGACATTTTATTTTTAAATTGTCATCATTGACGTCCAATTCTTGACGTCATTGACGACACAATTTTTAAATTGTCATCATTGACGTCCATATCCAATAATCAATTAAATTTTTGGCATATATTAAGGAAGTCTTCAAACCGATCCTCTAGAGTACCAGTTAAAATGTCTAAAGTACCATAAAACACTGATATCTTGAAATTATCTACAGAATTTTGATGTAGGTAATCATTCTGGATTTCATCATGAATTTTTATTATTCTTCTTTGTCTTTTTGTGGAAAATAATGTTGATGTATTGCATTTATTTGCCAAAATAGTAGCCTGTTTTTTAAAATTTTCAAAATATTTTTCACTTCTTAATGATTTGAGATCTTTAATTACCGCAGTAATCATGTGAGCAGCTGTACAGAAGTTGATATTAACCTTTTGCAAGTGATTGGACAATATATTAATTTTATTCGGCACTTCATTATAATCGATTATATTTCGGTCGGTGATTCCCCGAATTTATTTCCATCGCGACTGCTTTCATTTTCTTCTGTGGCGGCGCCGGCGCAAGGTTATGTCTAGCCATTGTATTTTTATTTATAGACAATGTAGACAATTAGCGGTAGCGTAGTTTCAAACCCATATGAAAACTTTCGTACGTATACGCCTACTTCATTTGAGATTTAAATTATAATTAAATCTAAGTAAACATTAAAAAACAAAAATAAAATGTGAGAAATATATACGTCATTTTTTTATCTTGAAGAGCTAAGGGCACGGTAGGGCACCGTTTATTTTTGCGTTAAATTTAGTTTTTCTATTTTTTTTTCAAAGGGCGCCAGTGGCGCTAAGCCCACAGGGGCGGAGGGGGCGTTCGCCCCCCCTGGCCCCCTATACGACACGCCACTGAGTTGTTCACCACATATGACACGGAGTATTGTAGCTAAACGATTAGATTTTCACAAATTGTAAGTTTTGGGTTCGTTGAAGGACTATTAGAGCTAGAATTTAAAAATATTTTTACAAAATACAAAGTGTCCCAAATAAGTAAAAAACAGTATAATTGTATTTTTTTTAAATGGAACACCCTGTTTATTATTCTATTTTTAGATTTTACGATTGAAATAAAGGTAAAAATTTGATTAAGGTTTATCACGCTTTAAACGGCAATAACTTGTTTGATTTAAAAGGAACATCCTGAACATTTTACGTGAATCAGATGCACAATTTAATTGTCTATCAAATTTTATTATACCATTTTTTACTTATCTCTTCATATCAAGTTTTCGTAGAAAATGCATTTTCTTATAATTTAGACCTCATTTATCACTATACCCATGGAATATTGACATTTTAGATTTTTTTAAAGTAACATATGTACAAAATGTATAGGTGGTAAAAATAATAATATTGCAAGTCCATTTGTTTAGAAAAAGAAAACTATTTAAATCGTTGTAAAAGAGTATACTAATTAAATATACCACCATTATTTCCGCCCAAAAATTAATTATTTACATACTTAATTGTTTTAATTAATAAATTAAAACTCTAAATAAATGTGGATTTGACTCAGAAATCAATATAATAATAAGTTATGACAATAAACGTCTCCGTTGTTATAAATAAGCATTCGTCAAAAAATGAAATTAAATTTATAAGGCGTTCCTTCTTACCACACTGTCTAATACACATACAAAATTCAATTTTTTTAGTATTTGGAGCAATTATTATCAACCTAAACAGTCAATTAATGTAGTTTAAATACTAGTATCATATTAGTAATTGGTTCTCTTTAACAAATAATATTTAAACAGTTTTTTTTTATTTTTTAATAAAATTGTTACATCTTTAAAAATAATCTAAAATGTCAATATTCCATGGGTATAGTGATAAATGAGTCCTAAATTATAAGAAAATTCATTTTCTTCGAAAACTTGAAGGGATAGGTAAAAAATGGTAACATACAATTTGATAGACAATTAAATTGGGCATCTGATTCACCTAAAATATACAGGATGTTCCATTTAAATTAAACAAGTTATTGCCGTTTATAGCTAGTAATTATTTAATATCATTTTTTTTGGACACTATGTGTATGAGGTAGTATAATTTATATTATTGTAACACATTACACATCTGATCAATAAATAATCTTCAGTAAATATTTTGTATTAAAAACTTTAAAATCCTCGGAGAAATGAAGCCTTAAATTTTTTACTGCAATTTCACAAAATTGAAAATATTTCAAAAACGGTAAGGTTTAAGTGTGATAAACCTTAATCAAATTTACCTTTATTTCAATCGTAGTATCTAAAAAGAGAATAATATACTATATTTAAAAAAAAATACAATTATAATATTTTTTACTTATTTGGGACACTCTGTATCTTGTAAAAATATTTTTAAATTGTAGCTCTAAAGTCCTTCAACGAACCCAAAACTTACAATTTGTGAAAATCTAATCGTTTAGCTACAATACTCCGTGTCGTATGTGGTGACCAACCCTGTAGAAATTCAGAGATCGCTAGTCGCTAGCCTAATAACTTTAGTTGAAATTTGACGAGTCGAAATTTTTGACATGGGAAGTGTGTGCCATTTTGGAGGAAAGGTTTTTTGCGATTGTTTTTTTCGACAAAAAAGGATGAATAAATTTGTAGAAAATTCTCTCTATTTTTGTGTAATCAGCTCCAATGTTCCCACGATCGCGGCATACCTGTCTATCTACAGTATGTTACGCATAAAGGTGCGTATTCATTATCCGAAAGAACGAACGAACGAACGAATGAAAGTGCGGTATATTTAGACGGGGACCGAACGCATGCGGCCGTTCGTTCGTTCGTTCGCTCGACCATCCGTTTCGAGTCGGTACATCAAAGGCGTTCGCCAACAAATGCCTCCGGTCTTCTCGTGCGGTCCTATCGTGCGGTCCCCGTCCATACCACTAGCGTACGTTCGTTCGTTCGTGCGGATAATGAATACGCCTTATACTTAATACGCCTTATGAATACGCCTTATACGCCGAATAGGACCTTAAGGTGCGTATTCATTATCCGAACGAACGAACGAAAGAAAGTGCGGTATATTTAGACGGGGACCGAACGCATGCGGCCGTTCGTTCGCTCGACCATCCGTTTCGAGTCGGTACATCAAAGGCGTTCGCCAACAAATGCCTCCGGTCTTCTCGTGCGGTCCCCGTCCATACCACTAGCGAACATTCGTTGGTTCGTTCGTTCGTTCGTGCGGATAATGAATACGCACCTTTAAAATGGCTCAAAGCAAATTAGTAGGTCAGGGTAGAATATACAGGGTGGTCCGAATTGTATTCAATTGTGTGAATTGGCAGCATATTCTGTTGATAAAAATAAGTAAAAAAGTTCGTATACAGGATGTTTCAAAAAACATGTGCCATCTCTAGTGGGGAGGTTCCTCACGTAAAAATAAGATTTATTTTTCATATCAACATAGGTCCGATTCCGCTTTGTTTCGTAGCTACAGGGTGTTAAAGTCTTATTTTTTTTCGATTTATTATAATTTTGTATTAACCTCAGAATCCAGTTTGCCTGCCTTTTCTCTCTATATCGTTATTTCTTTAATATATCACAAATTTTAAAGTGTTTGACTGAGATCTCTAATACCAAACTAGAACAAAGATTTCAATAATTGTTACCTTTAAATTTGAAACATCCAATACAGTAAACAGTGTGAAATATACGTACCTATATCATATTTTAAGTTGTCCACCCTAATGGATTCGACGTTTTTAACAAAACGTCCAAAACAGTGCGTGGGATCGGGCAACCTGGGTAACTTTAACCCAGGTGCGGCACCGACTACGAAAAATCTTCTTCTCGTCTGGGGCAAACCGTAGTTGCCCGCTTGCAGCACGCCGAAGGAGAGTTGGTAGCCGATGGCCAGTAGACATTTGAGGGTCAGTTTCAAATACAGGGCGCTGTTGAAACTGACAAAGTTGCGCACGTTTTCGAAAATGAAGTATTTCGGTCTGGAAAAAAATTGGAAAGTCATTTAATACTTAATTGGCATTCTAGGCAATCTATGTTTTTATTTATGACAACTACCTAATAACCTAATTTTAACATCAACTTGACAATCCTGAAAAATGTTATTGTTAACCAAAGAGTAAATTAATTTCTGAATTCGCTAACGCCAACTTATTTTTCATTAAAAAAATTACCAATTTTCGTAACTAGGTCGGCCATATTGAGGAACTTTTAAAAGAATTGTATTATATCTTAAAATAAGAAAAAGGAAAATTTTAAATTCGGCGAGACACTTAAAATGAATCTGGAATATTTCATTTTTAAATGCACTGTACCTATATCGAAAACGGTAAGTGCAAAGTATATTAAACTATATTTTTTTAAAATTAGCTAAAACATGTCTACCGGAAGATGCTAAAATATGGGATATAATTTCTACTAAAAAAATCAAGATGGTGTCATATCTGTCAAAATTGACGTTTTAAAAAATGTTGAGGTGGAAAATCGGCATCCTCGAAAAAAATTACATTAAAAAATCTTTCTATTAAATAGGAAACAGGAAAATTGTAAATTGAGTGAGATACTTAAAATGATATTGTACGACGTGCCGTAGATTTTGGTTAAAAAAATATATATACAGGGTGAGTTTTAAATAAGTGCAAATATTTTCTGGACTGGTAGATGTCGATAAAAGAAACATATTTTCTCTTTAAAAATAAAAAAAAAAATTTTTTTGCTTAAATTTTGAGAACCACTGGATCTTTTCTGGTTTTCTTATGTTGTCATATTATCAAGAAATTATGTTTTTAACTAAAACCGAGCCTAAAACATTCCAATTTTTTTTCCCAAGAAATCCAAATTTTCAGAATTTTTTTTCGCCAAAAAAAAACTCGTAATCGTGTTTCTGGACCCCCTAAAAATATTTGCACTTATTTAAAACTTATCCTGTATAATATAGATTACGCGTAGTAAACCAAGGTAATCAATTAGGAAATTAACTTGAAATTAAGTAATTCTATATTTTTCCTGCATTTTCAGTTTTATATACTACTTCTCTAAAATAATAAGCACACGTCAATTTGAGTTAGTGGTTTCAGTAGCGTATCTATAGTATTTTTCTTTTATTTTTTATTACAACTTAGCTTTTCTTATTAGAAATATTTTTTTTACAACTTTAATTTACAACTCAAATTAATAACTTTTATTGACAACGTAAAACAAAACCAACAAATTATTCAGTCTACCCTACATTATATTTTAATACGTTTTAAATAAAATTCGAACGGCATTAATAAAAAAATTTAAAGTCAGCCAGATTAACGCAGCACTGTTTACAAAAAATAAATAATTTTATTTTTTTTGTAGATTTTCTTATAGTGGCGAAATACCACCATAGAAATTTTTTTAAATAAACACAATAATATTTTTTCCATTTTTTTTGTAACTTTTTGGCATCTAATTATAATTCAATACCAATTTTTATGATGCACTTTTAATTATTTACTTGCCTGTAGTAATCTATAAATCCCAGATACGTATTGATTTGCGAATTGTTCTCTTTGGAGCCCTCATTTTTTTGGAATCGATTGATGAGAGAGTAACCTTGGCACGGAGGCCCCCCTACTATAATGTCGACCTCACCCTTCTCGGGCATGTTAATATCTCTCTGTTTACCCTCGAGCAATAACGACAGGACGCTGTTACAGTCTTGTTCCAAGATTATAGCCGCTGGATTGTTTGATTTGAAGGATTTCGCTGCCACTGAGTTGATCTCGATCTGAAATTAATTGCTAAGTTATAAGACGGGAGTATATACCCCAGTCAAATTAGTAAAAAAAGGCCCATCGGTGGAAAAAATTCCCACAGTTTTGAAAATTGTTTAAAACGATTCCTCTAGACTTGAGCTAATATGTGTCAAAAGTCCCCGAAGATAGACGATGAGCTCGAGGTGTGGGGAGGAGTTAAATGTCAATTTTTTTCACTTTTTTGCTTATATCTCGGTAACTATGATAGCTATCGAAAAACGCTCTATATATAAAAATAAAGCTGACAAAATTTTCTATAAAAATGATTCTATACATTTTTGTTTCCAGACTTTTCGTTAAGAACATGCCCTTCATAAATTTGGATAATAAATCAAATGGCATATTCCAAATCCGTACAAACACATTTCTTTTTATTGTACGTTTTCCGTTCAAATAGCGTTGAAGAGGTACGATATAATGATTTTTAAGTATCAAAATATAACTTTTAGTGTATACTGCGATTTTATAAATTTTAGACGTGATGCACTCACATAAATCACTCCTTGATTGCCCAAGTTATTTGTTAACATGGATAATGTTTTCTGTTCATTTATTTTGTTTTATATTTTTGTGGAATTAAAAGAACCAAAACCAACATTATGTACATAATATATATATTATGTATTTCTATCTTTAATATTAAAGAAACAAAATAAATAATAATACATTTATAAAATAATAGTGAATTATTATGTTTCTGAATTAATTTTTGTGTCGGAAATAAGAAACACCTTCATAAAATTCTTCAATTCACAAGTAAAATTAAAGCACCTTATCTTTAATAACATAGATAGTTTGTAATTTAAATTTCATAATATATTATACGATATTGTACAAAATTAAAAAATAATTTGTAAGACCTACTAAATTAAGTTTAAGTTAAGTAAGCGATACATGCATATTATAAATAGTAAATTAAAATCACTTTTTTTATTGAATACAAATTACTTGTCTAAAACGAATAATGTGGAATAATATAGATAATTTTAAAGTATGGGGACTCATATTATATGATGTGGATAACATTATTGTATTCAATATTATTGTATTATTGCGGACCGGTGTGGACTCGACCTAACCTAAATATATGGCCCGCCCTCGCATGACCTTAACATCGCATTAAAGAATAGACACCGTAATGATTCATTGGAAGATTCGAGAAGAATCGAGTTCCACTGGAATGGAGTAGTACATACGAGAACAATCGAAACCTTCTCTATGCACCTAACGATCTATGGACTATTCTAGAAATCTTTAGCTGTAGGTATAAAAGCCGGCGGCTGTGGCCTAGAGAGGGCAGTTATAAATAGACGAGTACAGTTGACGCGCTAAAATTCAAAAATAAATTCTTAGTTATAAATCGTTTGTAAATAGTTCTTTAAGTCTTTTATCGTTTTTGTTTTTGTTAATTAGTGTTAAATAAATAGTGTTTAAATAAATTGTGACTTTCTATCCACACGGAACCGACGAAAAACGTAACAGTATGTTGAGAAGATTCAGAAATCACACTTTCATATGCGCCTTTAAGACTCTGAAATTCTGCGAGGAAAGACTGATACTATATTGGCGAAATGAATTGGGTAGTGCACATACCTAAATATTACACTTACGTTAACTGTACCTACAGGAAGAAGTCATGTCGAATATCATCGTAATATATAACCTCAAAGAACCAGAACTCAAATGCTAATGCCTCAAATGCTTCGTGCTACTTTAACATAAGAAAAATCTACTGCAGGCGAGGATAGAAATCTTCAACTCTGAGCAATCACGGACCATTAACCATGATTCTTAATTTTTGTATACTTTCTACAATATTTGCAGCTGCGCTAAATGCTGTGGTATACTTTTTTTTACCGTAAAACAGGCATGCATTAATCTTTAACTAGCAGTTATTATTAAGTCCTGTGTGCACTAGTACTCTCCAACGGAAAACAAAAAGTCACGATTCAAGACTTGAAGATAATATCATCATCATCATCATCAACCAGCCTGAAGTGTCCACTGCTGGACGTAGGCCTCCCTCAAATCCTTCCACTCTTCTCGGTCCTGTGCCACTTGGATCCAGTTTCCCCTAAATCTCTTCAAGTCATCTGACCATCTTGTCGGAGGTCTGCCTCTGTTTCTGAGAGCATCTTGTCTTGGCCGCCATTCTAGTATTAGCTTGGTCCATCTATCATCCGTTCTTCTGCAATATGCCCAGCCCAGTTCCATTTGAGTTTTTTAAGCAGATATATAGCATCTGTTATTCGTGTACGCTGTTTTATAACTGTACTGGGTATCTTGTCTCTTAGAGATACACCAAGCATTGCTCTTTCCATAGCTCGTTGGGCTACACGGATTTTTTCTATGGACTTTTTCGTCAGTGTAAGTGTCTCTGCGCCATATGTAAGTACTGGCATAACGCACTGATGGAACACCTTCCTCTTTAAGCACATTGGTAGATCTGATTTTAACACATATCTTAGTTGGCCGAATGCTGCCCATGTTAGTCCTACTCTTCTTTGTATCTCGTGCGTCTGGTTATCGCGGCCAATTGTTAGTTCGTGCCCCAGATATTTATATGAATATACTTGTTTTATATTTGCTCCGTCTACCGAGACATTTCCACTAATAACAAGATTAGTCATTAGTTTGGTTTTTGAACAATTTATGCGTAGTCCAATTTGATCTGACGCCCGTTTAAGTGTTTTTAGCATATTTTGAGCTTCGTGTATTTTGTCTGTAATCAGCACCCAGTCATCAGCAAAACGCAGGTTATTGAGCATTTCCCCGTTAACATTAATGCCCATTTCCTCCCAGTTTAGTCTTTTGAACATATACTCTAATAGTGCTATGAACAATTTGGGGGAAATTGTATCGCCTTGCCGTACTCCTCTTTTAATACGGAATTTATTTGTGTTTTCGTGTAGCGATACAGATGCTGTTGCATGGTCGTATACAGGGTGTTTCAAAACAAATGCGAAAAACTTCAGGGGGTGATTCCTTGTTCAAAATAAAGGGTAGTTTGCTTTATAAACGTTGGGTGAAAAGTCAACCATTAGGGAGATATCGCGGTACAAAGATGTAACGTTTTTAGTTCGGTACATGTCTTTTTTATATATAATATATGATGTCTGGGCCTATCATCACCGGATTCCCTCTCGTTCAGGCCGGATAGTTTATTTGACGCGTAATTTTTACGTTCCCTAGTCGCCAACCCTGTTATCGTTCGACACAACCCTGTTACTATTCTGTGGAGGCGCGCGCTGTCAACGTCGCTTCTGTCAACTCTCTGTGATTTAACTTCACTTTTGGTTAGACTGTTTGGCCTGTCAGACGCCATTAGTCCCCGTTTTTGAGAAATGGTGATTATTTAAATCTTGCTGTGTAATCTGAATCAGCTGCTATTTCGAAGCTACAGGTAATGATGAGATATTATCCTTTTAGATTCGTTACTATTACTGCGTATTTTTAGGGTAGAGTTGCGGATGTCCCAACCTAACTTGTAATTGTATTTTGGTGGCACGTTGGCGTCCCTTTTCTTTTGTCCTCCAGAATGTCACATGGAAGAAAGGACATGTTGTTTATTATTTATTGAGCCCTCGGAAGTATTTCGAGGTAGGTTTATTTTGTTTATTAGACCTTGTTTGGTTTTAAACAAGAGTTTCATATTTTTAGGGTCCAAGGTACGGACTGCGTCCAAGGTACGGACTATTTCCAAGGTACGGACTACTTCCAAGGTACGGACTATTTCCAAGGTACGGGTAGTGCCTTATGTACAGACATTATCTTATGTACAGATGTCCTGTGGACGAGTGTCCCCAGTAAGAACGATTTTTTCTTACATCTAAGTGCCACAGCGTCCATGTACCATATGATCGAATAAAAACGGTGTCCAGTTGGCTTGGAAATGACGATCGCTGGCATTTCTTATATAAATTTACATATAAAATGACAGCGATCTTCATTTCATAGCCATCGCTGACGCCGTTTTTATTCGATCATACGGTAGCTTGAGTCCCATGCTGCTTCACTCCCATTTCTAAGCCTAGTCAGTAGCTACGGCTGTAAGGATTTATGGTGTCCTCAATCTGGCCCCTTTTGTTGTTTTGACCAACAGGATCGCCGACAGACAGTACAGAGATGCTAGACCACCTCACGTTGCTACTGTTTGAAGCAAGGTTACATAAAAGAACAGCTAAGTGTATATTTAAGTTCTAGTTTTACATTTTAACATCTAAAACATTTTCAGTCTTAAACAATAACGCACATCTTAAGTAATATCGTACAGACTATGTTCAGTGGTTAGATTGTTAAGAACATTCATGTCGATATAATCTTTAAAATATAATTTAGATCTTAGGTTTCATTGCATTACGTCTTGTAATGGTATTACTTTTATAGATATTATTGCACTATTTTAATAGATGGATAATCAAACATAGATTCTAGAATCTACAGGTTGTAACATCTTCGATTTAGCATCATATGGAATATATCAAATTAATTAAAGTAATGCTACATTTCATATTTTCTCTTAAACTTTACATGTCCTGTATTTTATCGTAGTTGTTTTCATTGATATTTAGTACGACTCTTACCACCACTTTCTTTGACATATAACCACTATATATTTACTAGAACTCTACAATGTCATGTATCAGCAAAGAACGTCATGAATAAATATAGTCATTAGTTTTAAGTATTATACAACTGTGTTTTCTTTCTCTGTACATGCCTGGCGCCCAATATCTATATATCTTTTGTTAATTATTACTGATTAATTTTCTCTCTAGTGAAATACCTTATCCACGACTGCTCTCCGATGAAAAGCTGCCGTTCGCAGTGGTAGTGGTTTAAAAAACGCTACAAAGATGGCGGAAAAATAATGTTTTTATTTTTTATCTTGAAAACGAAAAGAGATAGACTAATGAAATTTTACGGAAGCATTACTGTTATGAAAACACACTTTCTGGTAATTTTTTCACCT